GTAGCTGGGCTGGACTGGGCTGCCCCTACCCTGATTCTTTCTGAAGTGGTGCTCACCTACATGGAAACAAAATGGTGCAGTAATGTATAAAATGTGAACTAGAGATGAATTTGCATACACTTGGGCGTGTAATGCTAGTTAGATGATGGCAATATGTAGCAAAAACTGAGAATTTATGATCAAAGCAAACCACATTTAAAGCCGTTGGATGTTGTGTGTCTTTCAGGTCTGATGCCATCATTGGTTGGGCAGCAAAGCTCCTGCCACAGTCTCTCTTTGTTATGTATGAGCAGATCCATCCGCACGATCCCTTTGGTCAGATCATGCAGGAGCATTTCCAGAAACTCAATTCAACTCTGCATGCACTTCGACAATACCCAGACACCGCCGCACAAAGGCACCGCTTCCTGGACAAGGTCAGTACACAACCTATACACAAGACACTTCCTGTATCTTTTCACTTCTTTGAACAAGCACAATACCTCAGACCCAGGTACCAATTGAAAAAAAAAAAAAACACAGTCAAGGCATATTCAAAACGTCCCTGTTCCTCCTGTGAAGGTTAAATATATGGCGTCTTTGTCTCCAGGGCTGGGAGGAGTGCGTGTGCCTGGATATGAATAATTTCCTCTTCGGGCTGGTCCCTGAGGAGGAGAGATGCAGATTGGAGAGCCTGGAGCCTTTTGATGAATATGAGGTCAGCTGGGTCTCAGCGTTGCATCTTCTATAAAAGTGTGCACTACTGATCAGAAGAGCTCACTTGATTTGGTTTTGACGACACATTTTGTCATTTATCACTAAACCGCTGCTGAAAGTTTATTTATTGTTGTGACCTTTAGAAAACCTCTTTTCCAATTAATGTTAGTACAGCTGAAAACCACAGTGCTTATTCAAGAAGCGATCTGTGTTTGTAGTTGAGTGTCAGCCTCTGTGGGGAGGAGTGCACACAATGAAGATGTTAGGATTATTTGACTCTACAGTTTCCAACTATGAGGGGAGAGTGTGTCCAGTCTGGCCCACTCTCTGTGGTTTTTGGGAACCCTTATGGACGGCATGCTGGAGCAATGGTTCATTCTTTCACCTCACCATAAAATGCTCTAGTTTTGAACCCGGGCACTTTCACACTGGCTTCACTCTGCAGTCCTGAAAGCTACACCCATCTTTTATTTTGTCTCTCACGTACCACTTACTTTTTACCTTCATCATTTGTAATATAAGTATCTTTGAACCTGCTATTAAACAAAGAGTAAAACAGTCAACACAGTAGCTAACATCAGAATCATTCAATGATTGTAGAAGAAGAGCTTTATGGAAAAGTTACAAATGAACTTTATAAAATTTGGTGTTAGTTCAAATAAAGAAGATATAAAACCTCATTTTATTTTTTGGCACAACACCGGAACAACTACATTCTACCACTGACTCCTCACCTGTCTGCTCTCAGGAGTGGCACCAAAAATGTTCCCATTACTTCATCCTTACTGCATCTCGAGGCTCTTTGATGGCACAGGCTTTACTCCCTCGAGCTCCAGGTAGCTTTCACTTTCCACTCCTCGACTTGACACTAACAAGCATTTGAAATGGGACGTTCTGTATGCATGTTGAAGTTGTGTTGTTGCTTTAGAATCTCCTGTGCCATCTGTTGGCCCTTCTTGGAGCACAACAGCCCTGAGTGTTCGGACCACACCGGTATGCGTGGAGGGGCTGGGGATGGCTTCTGCGTCAGTGAGGCCAGGGTGGGTCCTGCTAACAGGAGGCTCCAGCAGAGGAGGCAGAAGAGCAGCGATCAGACTCCTGCTCAGAGAACAGGAAGGCTGGAGGTCCGTCAGTGTGGAGCCATCAGCAGATGTTGGTGAGGGTTTTTTTTTCTTTGGGGTGAGGGGCAGCCGGTCTTGATTTAGCCAGGAAAAGTTAGTAATTTTCCCTTCTTATCCCAGGTGTGCGACTTTACCACACAGTTACCCCTATACCTGGAGTGGGTGCTGTGGTATTTGGAGGTCGCTCCTCTCCACTCAACCCGGTCAGAAGCCTTTTCAAAATGACCTTTAGCCTCTGTGGTGCTCTGGAGTCAGGGGGCCAAGATGCACCGAAGCTTTGTATGGAGGAGATGATGTGTACAGGCAGTCCACCACCGCCAAGATGGAGGCACTCTGCTACCCTAACCAGACACAGAGGTGAGGGAAAACAGGAAGTCTTGTAGGATCCTTTTGCCTCACACTCTTTCTTTTTTTTTTCCTCTTCCTGTTTGTAGCTTTTTCTTTCTTTTTCTCTTTTTCATTCCATTTGTTCTTTTGCTTTATGCTTTACTCACATCTTTGCTTCGCCTTCTCTCTGCCAGTCTTTTATCCCATCCCTGCTTTTTCGTTACACACTGACTCCCTGTCACATCTCTGCAGGCAGAGAGTTTGTGTTTGTGTTTGGTGGAAAGAACCAATCAGGGGCCGTTTTGGGTGACGGATACTTCCTGAGTGTCGACCAGCAGCACTGGACTGAGGTTTGCTTGTTGTTACAATTTTAAACCCAGATTCTTAATGTTGCACGCACAAGTTTATTATCACATCACACAGGGCCCGTATGCATATAAACCTCCATATTAGATATGTAAGGTATATTTTGAAGGAGTCATTTAGTAGATTTCAAGAATACAAGTATGGAGCAAGAACATAACGTGCACATGACTCATACATGACCACTGGGTGTCATTTACAGATCCCAGTAGAGGGCGTAGCACCAGAGGCTCGTCACTCTCACTCTGCATGCTCATATAAAGGTGGTGGTGTGGTGTTTGGAGGGCTGAGCAGAGCAGGAGTGCCCCTGGATGACACGGTAATACTGACACAAACTGAAAGAGGCTTCTGCTGGGAGAGAATAGATGTACAGCCCCCTCCTGTACCCAGGTCTGTTGTGCCTCAGACACCATAACCAAACTCCAAGTTTCTGCTAAAGAAACTCTTTGATGAGATTTCCATTGTGTGCTTCGTTTTAGATACTCTCACTGTGCCCATGTGAGTGGTGAGAAGCTGGTTGTGGTAGGTGGAGTCTGGCTGCATTCAGACGGCGTGCCAGGCGTTGTTGTGATCAACATCACCACGTGCAGCAGTATGGAGTACAGTCTGGACACGGTTAGTGATCATTTATTGCACTTATAGTTATTCTAAAGGAAATCTAGCACCAACCAATGTTCTTCATCGACCTCAGGCCTTAAAGCCTCCAGGTTTGTTGCTTAAAAACTAGCACTGTTCCACTTCTGTGAGGAAAAGCAGAACTGAATTATCCGATGTTAATTACTAATGTATGTCCTGTCATGTGTAGACCTCAGTGCCCTGGCCTCTGATGCTCCACTCATTTTGCTCTGAGATGACGGACTCAGAAGATCCAGAGCTGCTCTTGATAGGTGGAGGAGGAAACTGTTTCTCTTTTGGGACTCACTGGAACCCTCAGCCTGTCACTGTGGACCTCAAACTCATGCTGGGCTGAATCAGCCTTGAGTATTTCCAAAATAAAGTACCAAAAGGTGGACTTATGTCAAGTCTGTTGAAGGGTCCAGACAAGTGCCTGCTTCTTATTGTAATTTTCATAATTATATAAGAAAACCTCTCATATTGACTGAGCAGCAACCTCCAGGGTGCCGAAGCAGAAGTGCCCGAAACTGTAGTTCCTCTAGTGGCCACTCGAGGCAGAGACTCCCATATTATAATGTTCAACTTTACAGCAGAAATAAACATTTCTACAACCTGTTCCGGAGATATGTTTTGTCTTTATAACTTATTTCTTCCTTTAACTATACAGACCCCTTATATAATTTAAGGGGTTTCAAGGCTGTGGCTGTGACTGACTTGCCCGTAGCTGCTAGCTGTCAACAAGGTGTCAGCCCAACTAATTCCAGTCTTTGCCTTGAGAAGCCTTTTCAGTGCACTTATACTTGAAAGTGGACTTATGTCAAGTCTTTATCCTGTCTTCCTTCTCTCACCCCAACCGGTCACAGCAGATGGCCCCGCCCCTCCCTGAGCCTGGTTCTGCCGGAGGTTTCTTCCTGTTAAAAGGGAGTTTTTGGTTCCCACTGTCGCCAAAGTGCTTTCTCATTGGGGGTCATATGATTGTTGGGTTTTTCTCTGTATCTATTATTGTACAATCTACTGTGCAATATAAAGTGCTTTGAGGCGACTGTTGTTGTGATTTGGCGCTGTATAAATAAAATTGAATTGAAATATAATACGACTTTAACAGCCTGCTAGAAGTTTATTTTTTATATATTGCTGAAATTAGCAAGTTTCAACAGTTTGATAGATTGGTATGAAGTGATGATCTCCTACTGGGCAGACTCGAGGCTACACTAGCTCTATACTCCGCCTAATGGTACAAACCTCTGTGACACAGAATTCCAGCCGAAATTTGAATTTGAAAACTTGAATGGACGGGTGGGTTTTTAAACTATAACTTTCACCACCAGGTGGCAGCATTTCATCAGTGGATGCTTGAAATGTTTTTAGATGTTTCCTGTTTTGTTTTTTTTTGTTTGTTTGTTTGTTTGTTTTTTGTCTATCATTTTAAATAAATTGTGTTGTTAAATAACGGTTGGAGAGATTTGCCGTGACAGCGTGTCCCACCTGTCGCAGGGCGAGAGGCAGGGTATACTTGGACAGGCCACCAGTCTGTCAGAGGGTTAACTCACAGAGACACAGAAAGCTGAGACTCAAACCCAAGACCTTCTTGCTGTGAGGTAACCGTGTTAACCACCGTTGTGCAGTTAGGAGGGAATAAACTTTAGTTATGTGCTAAAATGGTTCAAAACATGCATGGAAATAATCCACAGAAAGATTATTGTGCTTACTTGGCAGGTTTTATTTTTGAGACCTTAGTTCAAAATCGCAAACATAGTTGATGAAGGTTATAATTAAATTTTTAACTCATAATGCCCAGACAGTCTTCTTGATATTTTTGGATGGAGTTTAAATTATTCAGTGAAGCGCCTAAAAGACTGGACAGCAGGACTGGCAGCACCCCAATCCCCAGGCTTGCGGTATTCTCCCTTCTCCAAGAAGTACTGACGTCCACGGTAGTTGGAGTGCTCGTAGAAAACCCACCAACCATCGTAGACCTTACAGGAGTTGACCTCCCTCCAGCGGAACTTTTCCAGAAGTGAGGGGCAGTCCTCTGTGGCCTCCAGGGCCTGGCCGCCAAAGTCTGCCTTCTCATAAAGCTGCATCTTGTACTGGGTCCCACTGGTCTGGAAAGTGAGGGAGGGAGAAAGGAGGTGAAGATGGAGGTTAGTGCAGGGAAAAGAAAGGGAAAGGGAGGATACAATGAGATTAGAATTAGAATCTAATTGGAAAATTCGTACACTACATGTACACCTAGTTTGAAGTTTGTCAGATACAGTGTGGCAGTTTAGAGAAAAGCTAATCCAAATTATTGATTATTTTTAAAATTGTAGTTCATTAGTTTCATTTGTCTTTGCTTGTGTTTAATGATGCTGTCACCTCTCAGCCGGTCACAGCACATGGCTGTCTCTCCCTAAGCCTGAGGTCTCTTTCTATTGGAAGCACGTTTCTTTTCCCCACAGTCGCCACGTGCTGCTCATAGTGGGATCATCTGACTCTTGGGGTTCACTTTAATATAAAGTTAGTTTATTGTCTTGCTAGCTGCAAGTAAAATAACAAACAAGTATCTGAGTGTATAATTTGCCTCTCGATGATCATGGTAAACTAGTCTGTTGAAGGACTGTATACTCGGTATATTTGCCATAATCAGTGAGATATCTTACATTAATCAATCCTTCATTGTTTGCAGTGTGTTTGCTCACTGTTTTGTGCCTTTATAAATAGAACCAAACTGTACACACGCATCTACTAACTGCATTGATTTAAAGAGGCTGCAGGCTGTGGGTCAGCTGGACCAAAGCCTGCTCATACAAAGAGACTGATGTCACGCTGGTCTCCATCGACACAGCACTGCGGTAGCATGAACATGACTGGATGTCATCTCTCACATAGTAAATGCTTTTTTGGGATGCCCTGAGCCCGCTGTGCCTTCAGTCTTTTAAGATATTCAAAAATTAGACTCCACACCTGCGGAGAACATTGTGAAGACTTCAGCTCTTTGTCATTGAGCGTGCAGTCTGTGCTCACAGTGCACAGTCAATAACAAATGACAGACAGGCTAAAAAAATGTGCACCTGCAGCAGAGCAGCATGCAGGCAACGCCTGACTTACAAAGTGGATCATCTTGCAGGAACTGAGGTGGTCGTTCAGTCCCATCCAGCGCTGATACTCTGGGTACTCCCCCCTGCTCAAGACATACTGGTAGCCCATGTAGTTTGGTCTCTCGTACACCACCCAGGCTCCACTCTCCACCCGGATGGAGTTGCAGCGGCTCAGGTAGGTGTGAAAATCTGAGCAGTCACTGTCGCACTCATAGCGACGGCCCTGGAAGTTCTTGTCCTCGTAGAAGACGATCTGAGGGGGGAACGCATAACAGTCTCAGTGCTCGTCCACCTTTCACATTTGCTCTGTTAGGCAGTCTAAAGCCTGGTCCCTGTCTGAAAGCTCAGACATTTTAAAGCAAAGCCACTGTTAACAGCTGCTCAAACAAGCAGTGAGGCTTTAATTTACAACAGAGTATAAGGAAACAACATCTGCAGCAAACCTCTGTACTCTCCCACATGCACTTTTGAACCCGCACATTAAAACGAAACTCTTTGCATTGACTCACCCTGCCCATCTTGGATATATTGTGTGGGATAGCCTTGGTGATGATGAGTGATGTTGATGCTTCCCCCTGAGGTCTTGATGTTGCACTGGCCTTTGAGCAAGTGCCTTTTATATGCCCGCTTTCCCACATTTATAAACAGCAACAGTGGAGGCAAAAGGGGAACAATCGCTTTGTCATGAAAATGAGATCCAAAAATTGAGTCAGTGATTCTAGTGCTATTCAGTTTTTCCAGAAAAGCGAGGAAGGATTACGGCATAATGGCCAGGCGTGGGTAAGCGTCCATTGACCCCACTACTCTACTGGCTGGGTCCAGTGCCCACCGTTACACATGCCAGCTCCACCAGCTTGCTCCCACCTGGCAAGGACCTGCCAACTCATGACTTATTTCTTTTTTGGATGGATCCACATGAAGCAGTGGTGAAAGTATTCACATCTAATAAGTAAAAATGGGAAACACAAACGGAGTGACCTCACTTCAAAATTTCAGTCTGAAAGTGCTGAAATAACAAAAATAAGGAGAAAAAGTGAGTGGTGTTGTAGATGTGAGTATGAAACAAGTACTTAATGTACAATGTAGCGCTGGTTATAATATGCATGTGACTTTTAATGAAATGTTTACAATTATATACTTTTGCTCTTGATGCTACTTATTTTCTTTAACATTACTCATAATATGTGATTTACTTTTGCAGTATTGTGTTTCTTATGCATCCTATTTTCCAGGATTTTTTAATCAATCCAATAATTTGGACTAAAGTGGATTTGTAAACAATTTAAAAGGTTGGGGTGCCGCATAAATATGAACCCATATTTTATTCATAATAGAACAGAGAAAACATAACAAATGTTTAAACTGATCTCATTTGGAGTTTGATAGATGAGGGCAATGAAAGGCTTTAAAAGTAAGCACTACTAAAAGGAAACAGCTGGAGAAACATTTTACAGCTAATTTGGCTAATTGGCAACAGAAATAAAAAGAGCATGTTAGAGAAGCAGAGGTTCTCTGAAGTAAACACAAACAATTTCAGAATCATGCTCCTCGGTCTAAAATTGTAAGGACTTTGGAAAAACTGGCATGAGCTCAGGAACACTTGCAGAAATCACTGTCTGTGAACACAGTTCACTGCGCCAAATACAGGTCAAAGAAGCCATACGTGAAAAAATGATCCTGAAACAACACCATCGTCTCTGGGCCAAAGCTCCTTTCAAACGGACCGAGGCAAAGTGCAAACTGTTCTGCGGTCAGAGAAATCCAAATCTGAAATTCTTTTTGGAAAGCTCAGATGTCACGTCCTCCGGGCAAAATATAAGAGGCACCACTCAGCTTGTTATCAGCACTCAGTTCAAAAGACTGAATCTCTGATAGTATGTGGTATTGGTGCCTATGGATCTGACTGCTTGCACATCTGGAAAGGCAACATCAAGGTGAAATACAAAGCAACAAAACCTGTAGCTTTTTCAAAAAACAAAGAATATCTCAGCAAGACCGTGCTAAACTGAATACTGCATCTATCAAAACAACATGACTTCATAGTAGATGAGTCCGGGTGCTGAATTGACTTTCCTGCAGTGCAGACCTTTCAAATGAAAACATTTGGCTCATCATGAATGAACAATCAGACAAAGAAGGCTCTGGACTATGGAGCAACTAGACTCTTATATCAGAGAAGAACAGGGCAACACTCCTCTCCCAAAACTCCAGCAGCTGCTCTCTTCAACTGATGCTAAAAGAGGTGCTGCAGCACAGTGGTAAACTTGGAACATGCAGCTGCCATCAAATTCAAAATAAGCTTCTTTTTTTTTTCTGAAAATGCTATATTTAATTGTCTTCTGTGTTGAATAAAAGAAATGATTTATGAAATCTGCAAGTCTTTGCATTCTGCTCTTATTTACATTTTACACAAAAGTTTCAACTTTTACGGAATTAAAATTTTACTGTGCGTTCTGTCGTGTAATAAAATTCAGTGGTAAGTGGCTTAACAAACAGGAAATAATGGTGAGGTACAAGGACTGAACTGAAAATGAATGAAAAAGCAGCCAATGTCCAAAGACAATCTTTGAAAGCCTCTCAGAAAGCCTGGAGAACTATTGGCACCAATATATATATAATATACCACTAAAAGTCTGGCTTCTTGGAAATAAAATACAAAGAAATGAAGGTTAGAAGACTTTTGCACATTATTGTAAATATCCAAAGAAACACATAAGATGCGACCCGGTTGTAGTCAAAACCTTTATTTCAGTTTTTAACAATTAAAAATGACTTGGTGCTCTTGCACAGAGCTGTGCATCAAATTAACAGGACCATTTTTTAGTAAACAACAGCATTAAGGCGTTTACAGCATGAATCGGTTCATCCTGAAACTGTTTTAAGCACATATTCCCTTCATTTGCTATTTCCAATACAGTGCTGCCCTGATGATTTCAAGCAGGCCTTCTGTGTATAATTTACATCATATTTTGTATAGAAGGCAAAATTCAGTGTGCCGTAAAGTATATGTGGAAAGAGGAAGCTAACTGCCTGAAGTACACTTGGAGGTATTCACTGCTAACAGTTATTCTAGAGGTAAAGTAGATTTATGAAAAATAATTATTATTCAGTGCTAAAAATCGACATCTTTATTCAAAAATAAATATACATTTAAGTTTTCTTGGAAAACTGGTCACCAGTTTATTAAATCCTGCCTCAGCTGGAACAGCAGATTAGCTTGTTCTGTTGTACTGCAGAAATTCAAGCACGACTCTGCAGCAGCTGCACTGTCATGTGAGAGCAAACTCGAGCACACAAAACAGCGTCACTACAGCTATTAGCAGCATGTGAGTAACGGGTTATACACACACACACACGCACGAAAATGCTTTATTAATATTCTAAAAAATAATACTATTACGATCTAGGTACTAACATGCCCCTTTAGATTCGAAGTGCTTAAAATGTTCAGCATCTACATCCATCCATCCTCCATCTACATCTTTAAATGCTCAGCAGGTTCCCTCAGAAAACTTGTATACGAGGTCTGTTTGAGAAGATTCGGCGTCAGTAGGTGCATGGAAGAGACGACAGGGTCTCCAGAGGGCTGTGATAGGAAGCAAGTTCAACATATCTAGGCTCTGTTTCAGTTAGCTAGCTTAAAAACCATAGCTTTCTGCTATCCTATTAATCATTCATAGTCCATGACCACACTGAACCACAGTTACCCATAATTCAGCACCTGAAAGCTGTCTATCAAATGAATTCAAACAGGTTTTGGTTTCTCTATTGCAACACAAAGTTCACCTACACACTGGATGGACAGTTGGTACCAAATTATGTTTGAAAAACAGACTGACTGCTTGAAAACAATGTGTCAGGGTCTATTTACTCGACTGTCAATCACAGTTAATCGTTGTGCCTAGTTTGTTCCTCCTCATCCTCACTCTGACGAAGACAATAAGCAGGAAAATGTCTCTTTAAAGCATGTGGCGACTTCACACATGCCTCATCTTTACAGAGTGTGTGTGGCACATGATGTTGTTTGATAACAAGCCAATTCACTCCCACTTTAGACATGTCAAACATTTAGCTGCCTTTTCTCAAGAAGGAACTGTGAACTTGGACACAACTGTAAGCTGCTGGAAAAGCTTAACCAGCAGCAAGAACTCACAGCAGCACCGTGTGAGAAGAAGACCATATGTAACCTGCATGTGCAAACGGCCATGCTGCCTTAATTTACAGGTGCAATTATTCTGCTGGCAAAAAAAGCAAACAGTAAAATTCAACACGCCATGGATGATTGCCCCACTGCCTGTCCAGTCCTCATATGTTTGGGATCATTCACTTGGTTGGTGTCTGCTGCTGCCCCATCAGAGTCCTTTACAGAGGCGATTGTGGGTGGGATTAGGCTGTCCAGTTCCTGCCTGTGACCCGTTTCCAGAAGCCACTCATGAAACTTCATTTCCACCAATTCCTGGAACTGTTGCTTCTGCTCCCTGGAAAGACAGAGAACGTAAAAGAAAGTTGCATTTAAACGGCATAATATTGAAAATAACAGAGCTTAACAAAAAAAGTCTTTCTGAAATGAAGGAGAGAAAATTTTTAGCATCATTCACCTTATTTCCTACATTTATGCTCCAGCAACAATATGCGTGTGTTTAATTTTCTGTTTCTTAGCCTGGTACTTTAATAGCTCGTATATAGTAGTAGCAATGTCAATGTTGTCAATGGAGACAGTGTACAGAGTATGTGATCAATGGGTCTGTGGGCCACTCTTACTTGTGGTCATGTGGGCCTGCCAACCAGCCGCAGACAAGAGCGAAGTTCTAACATACAAAGAGCTGAAGTGAAACTGAGCATTAAAACCAATGAAGCGTCCACTATAGCCACCATCTGTGCTCTTCTTCTTTTTAATAAAGGTCTTCTAATTTTCACTCCTCCATAGTCCTCTACCTGCCTGCATGCTCAGCACTCCAGATGATTGGATATCATATTCCTGTTTTGGAGTTAAAACAAAGACTAGCCTCTGTAGGAGGCATTAGTTTTTTCTATATAAATTTGTAGCAGTTTTTCAAGCTGAAAACTTTCTGATTTTTCAGATTTTCTTGTGAGCACAAATTGCAACCCAGTTCAGAAAGAGTGGATCACAATCTAATGCTTCCAAACATGAATCCTCACATGAACCTCACAGCACCTTCAATGTTGTACATCATAGTTAGAGTCATAGTATCCAATCACAACATTCAAAGCAGAATGAAGACTTTCCAAAAGACTATCTTTGAAACGACTGTTTAACTAACGTTCCTCCATTGGTCTCTGACCAGTACATGGATACTATATAAAATCGAATGTTTTGAAACAAGTCCAAAACTCTTGCCTTGTCTCTTGTCTGACAGACAATTTAGATGTCACATCACTGACCAATCGAGTGGTGCCACTGCCAAAACTTTTGGTATGCAGATATACAATCGTGTTCCTGCCAGTTAAACATTAAATACGTGTATTTCCTTTAAAAGATGAACATCTATTTATGAATGTAAAGAGCCAGTGGAGAACTGCCTCGTGCAACCCGTCTGACATCAGTGTGCTCACTGAACTTCATATCTCTCACACATAGCAGTTAACTGACATTCATATTGATTTTTTGGAATCCCTTTGCTGTTACAATTTTCCACTGATTAAAAGGCACGCTACATAATGAAACACTAAAACTTACTTGAACACATGTATAGGTGGCTGAGCCACTGCTTAATAAAGGTTTGGGGGTCAATTTCTCACTCACTTGCTCAGCCGGGCCTCTATCACAGTCTTCTGCCAGTTCTGTATCCTCCTCTTCTTTTCGTCCAGAGCTGCCTGGTATGAAGGAGGCAGACCACCGGGCACCTCACATGTGTCTCCCTCCATCTGAAAAGGCACGACCAGTGTGTGGAACTCTGATGGTGGCAGCAAGCGGTAGCAGGAGGGGTCTGGGCTGGACAACGTATTGAGTGAGTGGCTGGCAAGGCCCTCGGTCACCAGAAGTAAGGGCTGATCCCAGAGATTAGGGACAACCGCCAGCCCCACGCTGGCCATGTGATCCTCCAAGGAAGGGTAGAAAGTGTGGAAAGGACCTAGAGTAATGTCCGTGTTTCCCGGCAGTAGCAACGGGCGTGTGGGCGTAAGGGCATGGATGGTGCAATGTGAGGAAGTTCCAATAACAATTCGGCCGGCCATGCACACCACCCGCACATTCTGGCAGCTGTGGATGTGGACGCTGGTCTCAACGGGACCCAGAACCACAGTGCTGTCACGGCATTTGTCCACACTGACTGATCTAAAGGAACAAATTCCACAACAGAAAGAACATAAACTGTACAGATACAGCCACTGAAAACTGCCGCTTTCAGCCAGAGATCAGCCAACTGACAGTCAGCCTAGGAACGGGAATCGAGAACCAGTTCTTGTAGAATACCGGTTCCCAGTAGGGCAATTCCTTCTAATCATTAGTCTGCCTGCCTATCAATTCCACTTATGGTGCTTGCACTCTTGGCCTGTATGCTAAAGATAACCCAACTTCTATTACTAGAAGGCAACCTTACCTGAGAGGTGAGAGAAGGTATATGAAGGCATCAGCACATCTATGGATTTTAATGTTGGCACCAGTCAGCTTGTCTGAAGTTTTAGCCAGGGTCTGTTTTAAGACTTGGGACATCAGCACCATTTTACTACCAGGTGGTGCCATGTGGGTGTTCCTGGCTATCTTGGCTCTCTTCATGGCCCCTTCCACTAGAACACACAAACACACATGGGCGGTCAAAAAAAGGCACAAAGTGAAGACCGTGAGGAAGGACTAATGCCAGATGATTTTACTAAACCTTGCTGAGCCCAAGCGAGCTTCTTGCCCGAATGGAGACAGGCAGTTATTCCAAAGGGATTCAGAGTGAGGCTGCGCTGGAGGCAGGAGAGGAGATTGTGCAGGGGGAAGGAACGGGTGAGCGAGGAGTTGCCAGCTTGTGTTTGGAGTGGACCTTTGGTCAGCAGCCGGTGAATGGGCTGAACAGCTTTTCCTTGGCAAACTGAGCCCTCCAGAAGCAGACCCAAGCTCCGCACAGCGTCCAGGGATACCTGATAGAACATAACTGAGAAATCAGTTACAGTATGGGCTTGTTTTTATATTTCAAATAGTATAGATTAATACAAGAGAAATTCTCTAATCAAAAATTTTAACATAATGAGTTTACTTTAACAGCTACAATTTGCTGTTAATGTTTTATTTACACTAGTGAAAGAAAAAAAGCACAGCCATAAATCTAACTCATCTATCAATTAAGATGGAAAGTCAGAAACACCAGACTGACCACCTCTGTAAATGCAGAGGTTCTGACAGTTTTCTGCTCTGGAGCAGAACAACACCAGCACTGATCTTAGAGAAGCACTTGTTGCTGTCTATGAAGTCGGGAAGGGGGTTAGGCTATTTATTATCATTCTGCAGAAAGATGTTAAAGTTGATAACAATACAGTTAGAAAAAGAATGGGAGGACTGTTAGGAAAAAGCCTCGTCTCTGCAAAAAACACTTTACAGTCACTGAGTCAACATCAGCTCCTCTGTATACCAAAGTATTCTAGAGTCAAACGGCAGCAAACAGCTGGATGGCTGAAAAGGAAAAGAATCAAAGTGGGGTTTTTAAGTCCAGACCTTAACCTGACTGAAATGCTATTGGAGGACCTTACGAGAACTTTTGTGAATTAATGTAAACCTCAATAACCTGAAGCAACGTTGTACAGCTCCACAGTTTATCATCTACCCGAAACAAACTATTTTAGGTCTTCTCCGTTCCAGCCAACTTTCCTCTAATTGGCTGCCCTTCATGCACAGTGGGTTTGAACAGAAGGTGGGTCGCGCTCGATGCTCACAGTGAGTGGTATGCCTGTTGCAGAATTTTATCTTCTGCATTAACTGAACTGTTCTGAAATCTTATGCTGTAATGCATGCAGTAACCTGATGTGAAACTACACAGACATGTAACTGTGAATGTTCACATCACATTGACGCAGCCAGCAATGTCTATGTCTGATGCTTTAGACACTGCCATTTCTTTTTACACATTTACGGCTACTTCCTCTTCTGATATCAGTTTTCAAATTGGCTGCAAAAGAACAGATCAACTCAAAGAAGAACGCCATCGCTAACTAGTGTTTCGGCAAAGAGATGCAGAGCAACATGGGCACACCAGCACAAGCAGAAATGTTGGCAACAACATTTGACTATCATGTAGGCTTTGCACAGATTCAGTGCAGAGGTAGAAATCAAGATTCAGAATACAACATTAGAGATAATTACTCTCAGAGACAAGATAAAGATGCAAGAGAGGCAACAACTACCTGAAATAGACTGATTAGCTCACAGGGATTGCTTCTACATATATGTCTATAAGAATATATTTAAGAAGATATATTAAATATACTGGTATCTTAAATACTCTGGCTAGCACCAAATATTGTTAAAAATATCTAGATTGTGTCTGTGACCTAACGCAGGATGTGTGCTTGCTGTTCTCAGACCTGGCAGTCTCTTAGGGCCTGTCCAGATTGCGACAGTTGACCAGGCTCCACTAGCAGCTCCAAAATCTCTGCCAGATGGCTTTGCACGAAGGACAGGTGAGCCTGATCGTCCCAATTCTGCAGAACCAAAACAGGAACAAAACTGGACTATAAGTGGTTAACTTCATATACACCACCATACAATAATTTGCACCAGATCTAATTAGAACTACACAATACTATAAATCCTGCTGCATTGTTGGTCATTCTGTTTTATCTTTCATGGCAAAGAGAACCTTGTTCTGATAGCTAGTCTTGGACTCTCTGTCTGATGGAGACGGGGAGCGAGTGCGATGGCTGGGCCACTCTTCCCCAATCAGAGAGGTGCGCAGAGACACGCGGTTCAGCTGCTGAATGTAGAGGAAAAGGAGAAACTGCAGAGTGTCCACAGACAACTGGTGCACAAAGGAAAGGGAAAAAAACCACAGGTTACCTATCAATATGCAGCCGCTCTTCCTTCAAATCTGACGGCAAGGTTACAATAGTATCAGTCCTTGGAATAAATATTTAAACTTTATTTAACCTTGTTCCTCTGCTGGTCCAGCTCACTTTTAGTAGAACACTGGGAAAGACACTCAGCCCACTCCAGCCTCTCCTCTGGTGTATGACCTATCAGAAGGTCATAGGTCTCAAAGTAGAGCCACGCAAGGTCTTCTGGAAGCTGCAACTTTCCACAGGCGATATGCCTCCACATGGGCCAGCTCAGGATGGGGAAGCAGCCATTCCTTGTTCGCACGTAGATAGCCATCTTTCGAAGATAGTGTAGGTTTAGCTTGGAGGATGGTGCCACCTACAACGATAGTAATTCATGCTATTTACAAGATTTACAGCTCTTGGCTGATATCATAGTGGAAGTATATTTACCTGTAGGGCACCAAGTAGGAACGGTTCCATGCGTGGCCATATGCTCACACCGTTTGCCTCCATGTCTGAAGAGTTAAGAGTACAAAACCATGTGACATACACCGATAATTAATTACTTGAGTATTTGACACTGTATAAGTACAATGCACTTTTAAATCACAATGACAGAGCCATTACTGGATTATGATTATTAGTCACGAACCAGGGAAGGAGCTGGGGAGCACTAGCAGTTAAACTGGTCAAACTGGACAGTTACAATAACATAATGCTTTGTTATTTCGCACAGACTCAACCTCTGTCCACACTGTTTAGTTCACCATGTCACTCATACTCCAGCCACTTTAACTCTGCACACACACAACTGTATATCAATTCAGATACAGCGCAGGATGTTCTGCTTTTACTCATTTTTTTTAAACTCATCGCATTTCATGAACCTTCTCTTTGTTGTTTTTTTTTAGTACAGCAACAACAGACCTAATCTTCAAAAATGACCGTTTAATTACAGGTTGAAAAATATCTTCCTGGCAACCAGGCTGCTCGTGCCATCAACACTAGGCATCTAATTTCAAGTTTGACAAGCTAATCAAAACTAAGCTAACATCAATCCAGTAACACAGTAAATATATGCACAAAACTCACTTGTTTTTGCTGTGGCACAACAAGAAATGAAGCCAAATACCAGGCGCACTGATATTTGCTCATAAAGTTAACTCCAACATAAAAAAGTAGGGCTGGCCAGCTTAGCTTAGCTCCAGTTAGCTAGCTGAGCTAGGACAGCTCTGGATCTTACTGTCAGACTTTGTGTCCTCGTCCTGTTACTGGGATCTTCGGCCTGAATGAGAAAAGGGCCGACAGGTCAAGGACTCATAGGTGGGTATACAGAGGAGGACGAGTGCAGTGGTTCCTGGTTTGTTGTCAGACGCACATCTGCCGTCCTTCCTATTTGGCGCCCTCCTCTCCACTCAGATCTCAGCAGACATCTGTTGCGCGCAGCTCCCGAGGGCGCGCTTCAGCCTGCACTAAGAGCATGGTACCCGGGTTTTTTTATTCACCGAAATGTTCAGTTTTTTATTAGTTGTACTTATACATGTAACAAAAACAAGAGCAAAAAACAAAAAAAACCCCAAACAAACCCAAAAAACATCGGCGCAAACAGTTATATATGACAAAAAAGGGCTGCTGAGAAAGGTGTGAGCTGTCTCTTTAACGATGGGCAGAGTTTTTCGGGAGAGGATGATTTGCCGACATCCAGTGGGCGGGCTTTCTCTGACAGGAGGAAGAAAGCAGGCTTGTGGCTGACTGACTGGCAGCTGGGATCCGAGCTTTAAAAAGCCGGTTGTTCTTTGCTACCTCCTTGAGAAATCCTGACATCTATGGCTGCTAAAGGGATGAATCTGTGTAACGTGTGCTGCCTGCTTCTTTATGCTACTACGGCGGTGCTTGCCGGGTAAGTGGTGTTCGCTTGGACAGCGGCGAAACAGCATCGCCAGCTGGTACACATGTTTCACTGTGATTGGTCTAGACGTGCTCTCCATGCGTGGAACAGTCTGACACACAGAGCTAACTTGCTAATAAGTGCTTTCGTTGTCTTTTGCGCCTCACTCATTAAAAAGTGTATCCACCACTTGTAAGGGCCGTGTTTTAAGTGACTACCTAGCTTAGTTAGCTTGGAGCTAGCCATTACGACAGATGAAGCTGCTGCATACTGTCTATGGAAGCCACACTGGCTTACCCCCCGGAGATTGTAGCTAACTCGGTGTTTTACAATCTAAAAGTAGCATCATTGCCATTTGATAACGGTTTCTCGTTTTTCTTCTACCTCTGTGCCTCCTATGTCTGCCTCACATGTGCCATCTTCCTCTCTCCTGTAGGCGAGATTTCTATAAAATCTTGGGGGTGAGCAAGAGCGCATCAATCAGGGACATCAAGAAGGCCTACAGAAAGCTGGCTTTGCAGTTACACCCCGACAGAAACCAAGACGACCCGCAAGCCCAGGACAAGTTCGCAGACTTGGGGGCAGCCTATGAGGTAGATGTGTAGCCATTGTTGTGTTCTTGATGCTAGTGATATCCGAGCTGAGCAACAATGAAATTGTTTTTGAGTTAAGACTGTTATATTTTCATAGTATCAGCTGTGTTCGGGGACAGTAGCGCAGATTTAATCCTATGTGAGTATAAAAGCGCCCAAGACGCCGATACAACTGTTTTATAAGCCTGAAATTTGGTTGTTGTTGGTAAGATCTCTGCGATTGGACGATTAGACCGTGTGGCTGAATCTGATTGGCTGTCAGGCAGCACAGCTGGTGTATTGAAAATTCAGACGTGGATGAGTGGGAGTGGATTCGGATAAGCGCTGCAGGTGTTTCCGTGTCAAACGTTCACGTTTCTTTTAAAAACGGAAGGATGCCGCAGCGAGTTCACTGATTTGTAACACAAAACTGAAATTGGTTATTAATCGAGTTTTATTAGTCGAGGTGGGTCTATAAATGTATCTCTAAATGAATGACAATATAATAAAAAATAATAGAAAATAATTGACAAGATCTACATAAATTTTGAGGTTTTTTTATTTTTTATTTTATTTTATTTTTTTTATTTTTTATTTTATTTTATTGTTGCTATTGAGGTACCTCAGGCACCAAAACGATAACAATCTCAACCATAAAGTTCAGTAGGTATTTGTTTAAAGAAATCTAAAGTGGTGGTACAATATATAACAAATAAAAATATTTCAAAACCAGAGTTTGAAATGGCTTACTAAATGTAGGAACAGCAACATATCCAACATTCTTTGGTAGTCTCTTCAGGTGCTCACCTTGAAGTTGAGAAAAGTTTAACTTGGGACCGCCCCACTTGGATTTTTTGCCTGTTGTTGCTGAATGAGGGAAGAGAGCTCTCTGTCACCTCAGTAAACACCTTCTTCGTTGGTTGAGGAGCTCACTTACCAGTTTCAAGTCCTGTTACAGCATAATCTTCATGTTGTAAATTATGCTCACTGTTAGAGTCAAGAAGATTATTTCCCAGTACAGTCTGATCTGCCTCTCACTTATATCTAGTTTCAAAAAGGTTGACAAAAAGAAATGAGGTTCAGCTTGATGCTTAATGATGGGAGATAATCTTTTATTTATAGTCTGTGGTTGAAACAACAGGAGATAATGACAAACTGATTAGCAGTAGCAACAGCCATAAAAGTTTTCTATGAATTTCCAAAATCTCATCATCTTCTAAGAATGGAGCCATTGCTGCTTTTCTCAGGTGAAGGCACTTCTACAGCCACAATGTAATTGCTGGCTGTTCCTTCTAATGGGTCAACTGTTTGTATTCTCATATTTGAAAAAGTATATATTTTATACGTAAGCTTTAAGATTGTTTCAGTAGTAACAGTTCACTGACTTTTCATTTCATTCTTTAATGAATCAGTCAATTTCAAAAACTAACACAGCTTTCAAGAGCCCATCGACTTTTTTTTTTTTTTCTTGTGTTTTTTTTTACATTGAATTATGACGCTCACACGTTGTATCAGCGGAGAGAACAAAGACTGCGGCATGTGGCCATTGTGTGATTGACAGGTTGTCTGTTTGTAGGTCCTCTCAGATGAGGAGAAAAGGAAACAATATGACATGTATGGAGAGGACGGGCTCAAAGAGGGTCACCACAGCTCTCACAACGATATCTTCTCCAGGTTGGTTTCATGAGCTCAGCTGGATTTTATGCCAGGTTCAGCTAAATGCATGTATAATGTCCACTCATGCTACTGTTCCTCCCTCTGTAGCTTCTTTGGTGACTTTGGGTTCATGTTTGGTGGCAACCGACAGCAGCAGGACAGGAATATTCCCAGAGGAAATGACATAGTACTGGACCTGGAGGTTACACTGGAAGAAGTTTACTCTGGGAACTTTGTGGAGGTGTGGAGAAACTCCTGGTTTCCAAACGAACAGTCTTTACCATCCTTTATTCACATTTCAAGTTTGTTCCACAAATAGGAGCTAGCTATAGTGTCACTTCATTCAGTCATCAAACTGATGAATCGTCTAATTTACTACCTGTAGATTTTCATGTTATCAACACTCATTTTTCCCGCTGTATGCAGGTTGTACGTAACAAGCCTGTAGCTAAAGAAGCTCCTGGTAAAAGGAAGTGTAATTGCAGACAGGAAATGAGGACGACCCAGCTTGGACCTGGACGTTTCCAGATGACTCAGGAAATGGTGTGCGATGAGTGTCCCAATGTGAAGTAAGTCAGCTCCTGTTGTCATCATTAAATGGGGCCTATTATGCTTTTCCTTATTTTCTATGCTACATGGCTGTGACATCATAGAAAATGTCCCTATTGTGGTCATCTCAGGCACACAGCTCTGGTGCAGAAGCCCCACCCACCTGCTGTTTGTGAGGCATTATGAGGAATATGTTGAACTCTCAATCAAACAAAGCAACTCTGCTGCACCAGTAAAACAAATGGACTGATATTGAGCAACACAAGTCCACAGTACAGATGTTACTACTCAATTTTATAAATGATAACCCCATTTTGGACACCAATGAAAATGAGATGAAGCATCTGAAGTCGTAAATTTGAATGTCTCTAACCCAAGTTTGGACTTGGCCACCGATTGTACAGCTACAGGGTTTGAATCTGCGATGCTTCCATTTTAATTTTTGATAACTGCTTCAGGTTGTATGTTGGTCTAGCTCTCTCAGAATGACATTGATCTGTTGCTGCAGATGTCAGGTGTGTTTATTACATGTATCAAAGTCAGTACTGATTTTTAGATCATGTATTGCTTCTCGTTTCAAGCACTTCTGGTTCTTATTTCCTGATGTGCGAAGTTTCTGGCAGAGTTGATCTTCTTTCTCCATCAGGGTGTGTTTTTAGTTGCCAAGACCTTATGATTGGATTTGAAATGAACCCGAGAATACAGATCCAGATCTCAAGATAGACGATCAAGCTACATTATTACACTCTTACCAACAAAACCTGTTAATGTGATGTAAACAAATATGCCACCCACCCATCCATTTTCTTCCATGTATCCGTGACTGGGTTGTGGGGGCAGGAGTCTAGGCAGAGAACCCTGGACCTTCCTCTCCCTAGCCAACTGCTCCTGCTTATCCAGGGGAGCTTCAGCATGTCCTCCTCCCCATGGGCATGCCCAAACCACCTCAACTTGCACCTTTCGATGTGGAGGTGTAGCAGCTCTGCTCTTAGCCCCTCTTTAATTATTGGCTTTCTCACACTCTCTCTAAGGCAGCGGTCCCCAACCTTTTTTGCGCCACGGACCGGCCTTTAAGGTGTCGCGGATAAATACAACAAAATAAAACCAGTACCAAAAAAAAAGATTTATTCATAACACACGGGAAGAGACCCAGGGAAACCGAATTAACGATAAAAAAAGATAAAAAAAATAATGCTATAAACTGTGAATTTCACACCCGAGCCTCTACTCTCGCGGTCTAGTACCAAACGACTCACAGCGGTTCCCAGCGGTTGGGGACCGCTGCTCTAAGGGACAGGCCAGATGACCTTTGGAAAGCTCATTTCTGCCACTTGTGTCTTGTTCTTTCAATCACTGCTAAGTTTATGACCATAGGCGAGGGTAGGCACGTAGATCAGCTAGTAAACTGAGATCTTTGCTTTTACACTCGGCTCTCCCTTCACCATGATGGACTGGTACAGCGTCCACATGACTGCATTCCACTAGAACAAGTTCTGAGTCACAAAGTTCAACAGCAGACTGAAAGAAATGGGGGGATGCTTATGGGATATTTTGGAAAACACATCAGGAATCCTAGATTTCAGCTTAACGTACTTAATAAATTGACCAATAAATTGTATTAACAAATACATCCTCTGATGTTATCTTATCTGCAGGCTGGTGAATGAAGAGAGGACCTTAGAGGTAGAGATCGAGCAAGGAGTGAGAGATGAGATGGAGTACCCTTTTATTGGAGAAGGTAACTGCTTTGTAAATCTTAATTCGTTAGCTTTTTGTCCCTCCCTGTTTCTAACATTTTACTCTGACCACAGGGGAACCTCACATCGATGGAGAGCCTGGAGACCTTCGATTTCGCATCAAAGTGTTGAAGTATGAACAGATTTCTGTGTGTGAGAGAGAGAGAGAGAGAGGCGTGCACCAATTAGAATATAAGTATAGTGACAGACAAGTGATGTGGGGATGTTTCTACTTTATAGACATCCTGTGTTTGAGCGCAGAGGAGATGATCTCTACACTAATGTCACCATCTCTCTGGTGGAGGCACTGGTTGGCTTTGAGATGGATATAGTACACTTGGATGGACACAAGGTTCTGTATATGCTTCTTGTTTTGAAAGATTAGATTATTTGGGGGAAAAATAAAAACATGTATAAGATTGATAGTAAATGTTTGTCTGTCTTTGCCTGGCAGGTCCACATAGTGAGGGATAAGATCACAAAGCCTGGTGCTCGAATGTGGAAGAAAGGAGAGGGACTGCCCAACTTTGACAACGTTAACATTCGAGGTTCCCTCATCATCACCTTCGATGTAGACTTTCCTCAGACACAGCTCGACGACCAGCAGAGAGAAGGTCAGAGTGTGGCAGTGTTAAAGGGTGGTCTGGGAGAAGTTAAGGACACGTCATATCTTAAGGGGACCTACTGTATTCTGCTCATTTAGTCCTTATTTATCTTACAAGGCTTTCCTGCTTCTCTTTTAAACGAGGCATGTTAGCTCTTTCAAGTTCTTCTGATTGGCTGCCCCTCCTAAGCAAAAGATTTGAAGAGCAGGTGACTGAATGTCTGAGTTGACCAAACTTGGGCCGTGTCAACCATAAGAACACCACGTACATAACAGAAAATAA